ATGTTGGATAAGGTAGAGTCCTTATGAAAGAGACTAGATGAGGTTAGAGGGAACAAGATGGAAGTTGACTTCCTGGCACACAAAAAACTAGTTTTCAGATTCTTTTACTTTGTTCCAATATTTCTAAGAGTGTATGTTTTCTTCATCTCAAACATTTCTACTAGTTACGTATGTATCTCCAGTCTTCAACCTAGCCATATCAGTAAAGGTGAATTGTTTTGAATTCCATTTTTTTAAACATAGTGAGAAGTCACAAATTTGAAGAGGCTTATTATAAAATGAAGGAATGGGTGATAGCAAATACAATAGAGTCTTTAAGAAACAGAAAACTTGGCCCTAGTTGTTTTAAATAGCTGTGATTTATTGGATCACAAACCTGGAAATCCAAAGATTGAGTAAACTTTGAGGTTGGCTTAATTAAGTAACTCTAGTTCTTGTTTTTGCAATTCTTTAGTCATGTTCAACCCTGAGTATTAGCTCATTCTTAGGGTAGCAACACTCTTGATGACAAAATGGCTACAGAATTTACAAGCTTCACCTTTCTACTTCACAATGTTGAGGAGGAAGGAGAGCCTCGTATAAACAGGGACAATTCTTTTCTTGGAAGTTTACGAAAATTCTCCATATTGACTCAAAGTTGGTCTTATTCCAATGCTCAATCTTGTATTTGTTTGCTAGGTCTACTGTAACTACCTATCAAGACTACACAGCTTAAACAACAGACATTTATCTTCTCACAATTCTGGAGACCGGAAGTCTGAGATCAATGTTGTCAGAAGGGTTAGTTCTTCTGAAGTTTCTCTCCTGGATTTGTAGATGATTTCTTTTCTCTCTGTCTTCAAGTCATCTTTCCTCTGTAAATATCTATGTCCAATTTTTCTCTTATAAATATACCATTTGTATTGGATTAGAGACCATCTTAATGACCTGATTTTAAATTAATTACTTCTTTGAAGACTCTCCAAATTCAGACACAGTTTGAGGCACTGGGCAGTCAAGATTTCAACATATGAATTGGCGTAAGGAAGGAGGAATGTATTTCAGTCTATTATACCCATACCAATAGCAGGGACTTAATTGAGTAAATAGGCCTAGGCTGAGATTCTGAATCAATGATATGCATTGGTAGCATTGGGAAGTTCAGACAACTGGGTGAAACTTGAGCTGACAAAGAAAATTGGTTAATAACATTGCCCATTAAAGGTGGGGTGGGCTAAGTAATTGCTAAGATTTCTTCTTACTCTAAAATTCAATGATTCAAATTCTCATTTGTTTTTCCTCACAATGTACAAAACATCAATTTAATGCAAAGCAATAGGTGAAGCTGTGATAATGGTAGATTAGAAAGAGGGGAGGGATCAGGATCAGAAATTTACATTGCTAGAAAATTCAACAGGGCTGGTTGGCATTCACTTAGAGTAATGATTTTATTTAACTTGTGACAGTTGCAGTGGAAAACAGGAGCATGAGATCCAGTGGCTATTGATGGGATGAAAAAAAGGTGGCTCCTTTTATCACACTGAATGTAATATAAGCTCATTTTATCATACTGAATATAAGTTCTGTAAATGTCAATTGGTGTTGATAAAGATAGTTGACAGAAAAGCTCTCCTGCTTTTGACTAGATCTTTGATTATGGTAGGTTAAATCAAGAGAGACAGATGTTTTATAGGTTAAGAAAGATGAAATATCAGCAACTTCATGATTCAACCTGAAAAAGATCTTTCTTAATAGGCTTCAAAGATATGTATTCTGAAACAAATCAGCACATTGAAAGCACTTATGAAGTAAAAGATGTCTTAGAACACTAAATCACTTTCAATATGAATTCAATAGACTCCTTTGAATTCCATTTATGATCCAATATAAAATGATAATAATCTTGACTAATAGAAATATATATATATATATATATTTTACATGGTCAGTCTTTTCTATCCAGGAAATACATAACAAACCTAAAATAATTTTAACAAAAATTGTCTATTTTAAAGTCTTGACCATCTTTCCATATTTGTACTAAGTAGCTGAATCTCTAAACTATAAGTGGGAAAATATGATTTTCTGAGTCTGTGTAAATACTAGAAATATGATTCCTTTCCCTAACCCTAACATTCTCCAACACAAAATTTCTAATTTCAATATCACTGACATTCCAAGACTTATTTAATAGGTTATTTGTTTTGTTTGGACTACAGGTTATAAATATAAAAAATTATTAAGGTATATGTTAACTATTCTATATATGCCTCAATGGAAAAGAAAAGTTGGTTCCAGGCTAGGTGAACTTGACAATTTTCTCTTAATATAACTTTTGTTATATTAGTCTTCTATTTCATTTCTTTCTCCCAAGTGTGGGAAAGATTGTAAAGTATTTTTGTCATCAGAATTTTTCTTTTTCACTCTAATAAAGTTATTTTACTTTCATGGAAATTTTGTGTTGGAGAATGTTTTCATTATTATTCAGTGTCCTCCCCTTTAAAGTTACATTTGATATACATAGGATTTTTATTTATAAGGAAAGTTGAAAATATCCCTAAAATGATTGCAATTTCTCACATTAAAAAAAAACAACACTGATACATTAAACAAAGTTAGGGGTTATTATGGAGAAATTATTCAGAAGATTCTTGGTAAAAGTTTTTCAATTTGGGTTTATGTAGAAAGTAATTTTCATGTAATATTAAGAATCTTCTGGGAGGCTCCTTGGTGGCATAGGGAGGCTCTATCAAGCTATCACAGCCACTGCATATGGGTTTGAATCCTGGCGAGGTAGCTGACCCACTTGTCACTGCAGACCTCTCTTGTCTCTCCCACTGCTCTCCTCAGCAGTGTATTTCAATAGTTTCACGTGTTATACCCCCCACTCAGTCTTTGGTGAGTCCTCTCACCACCCCATAACTCTAGCCTACACCCAAGTTCTTGCATGCATAAATAAAATAAATCTTTTCTTAAAAATGAAACTTCCATTAGAGTTCTATTGGTAAAGCTAAGATAAATTTTGTATTCACGGAAAATAATTCAAATTGTTTTATTTGTTTTACATATTCTCAAAGGAGAATATAATTTTGCATGCACAGATGCAATAATGCTAGCTTTGGGGCAGTGTTATTGACAGAATATATAGATATACTTAATTAAAACACAGGAGAATTATTTCTACTTGAGAATTTAAAAGAATGTCATCCTTTTCCTTTCTCGTTTCCTTTAAGGTGATCTCTAAAATAAATTTCTACTATTCAGCAACTAAGTTTTTTAAGTTTAATTGCTTATGTAGTTTTAAGGGAAGTGGCAGAGGCAAAGCATGAAAGTCATCTTTTTTCCTCCACATAAGCGCAAATGCTGTGGGAGGTGTTTATTTTGCAATTAAGTAAGACTGAGGAGAAAGTTCTGCAGTTATTACTTAGTGCCCCTCCCAAATTTCTCCCCCATAACTTTTTAACGATTTTGAAAATCAAGGCTGTAAGTGACCTTGGAAGAGTAACGTTCTGGACTTAGATTAACTAGTAGAAACTAAACAGAGATAAGTATAAGCATTTGTGTTTTGATTTAAGTGTCAAATGGACAGGCTTGGTTGCTTTAAAGAAATCAGATTTTAGTTAAACATAAGGCTAAAGCTAGTCAATGTATGCTATGGCTATGTTGTACTGAAAAAAAATAGAAGTATAGTTTCAGGATCATGCCATGCAATATTGCCCATGTTTTATGAAGTGCCCCAGTCACACTCGGGGTATCTTAATTAACAAAATTTTAAGAGTAACATTAAGGAAATTGGATGACAGAAAACTGATGTGTGAGGAGCAGCATATAGAGCTAGAGATTTTAAAACTGAGAAAGTCTAAGGGTACAAGAAAACCAATAACAGTGAGCTTCTCTTTTGTGCCAGGAGGTATATTAGGTGCCTCCTAGAACCATTCCAAACTCTCAGAATAATATTGTGAGTAGCGATTATTATCTCTATAGTCCCAGTGTCCTTATGTAATAAAACCATATATGTAAAGACTCTTCATTAGTCAGTAAAATATTTGTGCTTCCAACTTTCTATTTAACTTAGAAACTTGCATTTTTCCACAACACCTTAGCCACCATCACCTGCTTTTTTAGAGGTTTTCTATGTTCCAAGTATTTTGCTAAACAATGTATATATATATATATGTATATATATCTATATAGAGATATAGATACACACACACACACATATATACATCTCTCTCTCTCTCTCTCTCTCTCTCTCTATATATATATATATATATATATATATACACACACACACATATACCACTTTCACTATTCCTTACAACAGTCAAATATTAGTGTCATTATTCTCACTTTACATATGGGTAAACTGAATCTTAAGAGTGTTAATTTACCTGCCAGTTTATGAACAGTGGTCTGGACTTTAAAACCTGCACAAGGGCATATTATCAACACATCTTATTGCTTTTCATTTTTTTAAGATTTATTTATTTATGCATATAAGAACTGGGGTACAGGCCAGAGGTGTGGAGGAGGGAAGCTGAGAAGATTCACCAGAGACAGAACAGGCAAATTGACTGAAATACATTGCTGAGGAGAGCAGCAGGTGGGTCAGGAGAGGTCTACTGTGCCAGGTGGGTCAGCTCCTTGGCCCAGGATCGAACTCATGCTGCAGTGGCTGTGGACAGCTTCATAGTGCTGTACTTTAGCCTGTTGCACCACCAGGGAGGGTCCACATTGCATTATTTTGCTGAAATTCACCTATAAGAACATTATACAGATATATATGCTCCGTTACACCACAATGGTGAATTAAATTTATCTTTGATAATCTCACACCCTTACTGAGAAACAATGGCCCATTCAGAGTTGCTTAGAAATAAATGACATAGACTGGATTCCTGGCTTTTGGCAACTGTGTTATTTGGGTAATAGAGTTTGTTGAAGGGAGACAGCATAACTTAAGGTGAGCAGGATGAAATTTTTTGTATATCATGGATGGCATTGTTTTCTTTTTCTTACAGGTTTTGGATGGGGCCCTTGCAAGTAATTGAGTTTCAGAGAAAAGAGGATCTGACATTACTGGCATATCTCCCCCGAGCTTGCTTACATGAGTATAGTTCCACAGGGAATTGAAACAGTGCCATATTTCAGCCTAAGTGAAGTAGAGAAGAGACAGACAAGGCAAGGCGGCTGATGAACTGTTTCCTTCCTCTGATTCAGTGTAAAGCAATTGGATATCTACCAAAAGTCACCATGCCCCAATTTTTAAAACTATAATTTTCTCCTTTTATTTATCACCAGTATTTTATTTATTTATTTATTTGCAGATTATCTGTCTTTCCCTTAGAACATTTTCACAGGGATACAATCAACAAGGTAAAAACTAATTCTCAGGCAAAAAAAAAAAACAAAAACTTAATATCTACCATGTAAAGCTTGTATATAGCCATCATACACACACAGATAGAGAATGTATCTATGGTAGTAAGTTTTCATAATTGGGGCTATTCAGAGAAAAAATCTAACATGTTTCCTTAGAGAACAATAATAAAAAGGGAGAGAAGAGCTATCCCAAGGGGTAAGCTTCAGAAGCTAGACCAGCAGAATCCTTAGAAGTTGTAGCTCCTATGTCTAGCAATGTCTTGCATGGTGTAAGATTGAAATAAATGTTTTGAAGTATCAGCTCTTCTTTTGTCTATTTAACAACAGATCACATTCCCCAAAGTATTTTCATTAGTTTACAGGTGAGAGAAGGAGAAAAGGGAAGAGGAATTGTTCTTTCTGAAGGAAGATAAGCAGGAAGGACAAGAACTTCTCTGTCAAAAATCAAGATTTCAACCCAAATGTCAAGTTACTTTCTCCTCCATTTTTCATGAAGCTACTCTGTCGCAATTTGCTAGGTTTGACTTTTAGAGAGCTCTAGGCAAAATGCTAAACTTAAAAACCAGCACAGATCAGGACTTCTTTGTTATTCTCATGAGTTGCTCCATGTCTTTGCTACACATAGTATTATTCTATCTTCCACATGAGCCCAGACTTGAATCTGGTGAACTCAAGACTCTGACTGCCGAGAAGTGCTTAGAAGTGTAAAGTGTGGGAGCAGAGAGATTCAGTGGCTTCAGGCCACTTCATAGTATCCATTTTTGGCCAGATAGTCCCAAGCCCTCCAACCTAGATAAGGTCTTAGACAGCTAGAAGTGACTGAGATGGTGGGCATTTTTTGTGGTCTCTATTTCTCCAGCCCAAGATTTCTTTCTGAAGTTTCTTCTCATCAAATAAAAGTCAAAACCTTAAAGGTTCTGCAGAAACACAGTCATGATATCTGACTAAAGGATTTCATGAGGGAAAATGTTCACTATTAGCATCTTCAGGGACATTCAATTCTTTTGTCTTGGCTCTACATACCTCAGTGTCCTGTTTGATACAATCAAATGATAAGAGATTCCCACATGGTGGTTAAAATAGACAGGAACACTTGTAGTAGCACATTACATCTACATGAAATTTCTATATGCAATAAAAATAATAAAGGTATAGAAAATAAATCTTTAGAAAAAGTAAAAGTATTTATTCTGAAAGAAGCAGTTAAAAATTATTTGACTAGTCTGGCCCTCCCTGGTGGCGCAGCGGGTTAGAGCGCTGCACTGAGAAGCTAAGGCCACTTCCGCATGAGTTCGATTCCCGCCTGCCCCGGAGGTGACCACATGGCGCGGCAGACCTCTCCTGACCCGCCCGCTGCTCCCCTCAGCAGTGTACTTCGTCGATCTGCCTGTTCGGTTCCCCACTCTGTCTCTGGTGAAATCTCTCACCGCCCCTGAGCCTCTGGCCTGTACCCCAGTTCTGTATGCACAAATAAATAAAATCTTTAAAAAAAAAAATTATTTGACTAGTCTATTCAGACAAGCTGTGACAGTCTGTTCCCACGGTCTCCATCCATTTTAAGATGGATGTTCACAGAAGTGATTATACAAGGATACATATTTTGGACCATAAACAATTGTATCCCCTTGGACAAAAGGAGAGTTTGACTGTGAGAAGTTTGTGGAATTCAGAACACAGGGAGATTGTTAATCTTTGAGAAAAGGTTTTTTCTTCCTCCGATATGTTTGGAGAAGTAAAATGTGATCTATTAACATATGGGGATATGCTGAGGTAGACAACAAGAATTTCCAGGATAGATGTCTCTTAATCTGTCTCCAACAGAACATTCTCAAGTTTGTAAGAGTGATGGTCAGAAATGGCAGGTTACTTTCAGTAAATTCAAAGTTTAGTCACACTTGCACTACGTAAGCCTTCTCGCTACAAGAGGGTAACTGAGGTCATCAACTTGAAGTGAGGGCAGAGAGGAGGAACTGAGACTTGAACTGGGAAGGAACTTAAAACAGTCCATATGGGAAGTATACCTGGGAGTTCATGTACACTGAAACAGTGTTATTGATTTTCAGTAAACAAAAATGAAGGCGATATCTGCACTCCCATGTTTATTGCTGCATTATTTACAATAGCCAAGATCTGGAAATAACCTAAGTACCCATCAACAGATGATTAAATATAAAAAGCTATGGTCTGTTGACCCAGTGAAATATTACTCAGCCCTATAAAAAGATGAAATCCTGCCATTTGCTACAATATGGGGTGCAAGGCAGATCTCCTTTCAAGCAGATCCAATGAAATACTCTGCTGAGGGGAGCACTAGGTGAGACAGAATAGTTCTTCAGTGTCATGTGGGTCAGCTCTTTGGACAGCTGGGGATAGAACTCCCACTGCAGTGGCTGGTGACAGCTTGATAGTTCTGTCCTTAAACCCTCTACCACCAGGGAGGCCCTTAGTAAAACTTTTTAAAAACTGGTTTCATGGTCATCAAAGGGAATGAAAGATCCAACTTTACTTGTAGAATTTGCATTAGTGTTTAGATATGCAGCTGTATCTGTATTATTGCCTACTTAGGGGGTGGTGTCCCAAGAAAGTTTTGCATTATGTCCATAATGGATATGTTTGAGCTAGAAGAAAGACACATAAACCCAAGCTAATAGATCTATTTTCAGTTCAAAGGATTTTACTTTCCATTAAACATCTAGCAATATTTCATGCTTTATATATTTGAAGGTAAAATAAGATGTTTAATGTGTATTTTATAAATGATGCCACACAAGTCAATTATTTTGGGTTTATCTTATAGATGAATACAGGCTTTTAGGCAATGTTTTCAAAAATCCTTCAAAAGTTCAACGTTTAGAAACTGACGTAAGCATGTTGGATTGTTTATGAGTTGAAAGAGAAAAACAAAGGCATGCAAACCAGCTAAGAATATTCTTTAATTGTCAAAATGAGAATCTAGCTTTGGATGATAGCAAATGACTCCCAGAAAGAACAGCTAGATTTATTAATGTTTTGGCTATAGGAAAGAATGTGATGGAGAAGTTGTTAAGATGACTCTGAACTTTGAGATGTGAGTGGCTGAGTAACACTGCTAATGAAAATAAGACAGCATCCATCGGGGCAAAGAAATGCCCACAGAAGTACAAGACTAAGATAGGGACTTAGACTTTGATTAGACCTGTTGATTTAGATGAGATGAGTATATATCCAAGTGAGAATATAAAGCGGGTAAGAGTGATTTTATATCCAATCTCTTCCACTTATTTCGAATCTGACATCTACTGAGACTAAAGTTATAAGAAAGTTGTTTTTCAACTTAACTTCAGGCTATAAAAATAACACACACATCAATAGCTTAATAAAATGCAGTCAAAAGCTAGAAAGAAGTAAATCTTTAGAGAGAGAAATTTGAGTATTTTTCATTGTAGTTTCCTGAAGCCAAATCACCTCAACTGGTCTTCTTTTCAACTCTCAATGAGAAGTTGAGAGTTCTTCACTCCCAAACACATACATTCAACCTATTAACTGTAATCCATAGTTAATGACTTGTCTGACAATAAGTAAAAATTCATGCAGAGCAGTAATCAACAAGAGGTAAGACTTCACGATTAGAATCTGTAGCTGCCACACACTCAAAACTTATTCTAGACTCTTTCTACCCACCCATTCCTTATTCTACATCTTGCCTCTCCAGAGTACCCAAAGATAGCCATGTGATGTAGTTTGACCAATGAGATGTAGATAAATAGAAATCATCTACTTTCTGCCCTTTCCTCCTTGGAATACACATAATTCCTGGTATTGCAACAGTCATTACTAAGGAATAAAAAAGCAAGACAATTAAAACTGCCTATATCCTTCTAGCAAGATTTGGATTTCTTATCTCTCATAATCCTGTTGTTTCAGGCAAATAAATTCCAGTATCAGTAATTCACTCTAGTTAAGTTTATGTCTGATGTATTTGAATATGTCCTAATATTTTATTACATAGGAACTAAAAGGTTTAAAACAACTGAGAGGTTATGTGTAAGAGGGAAGAAAAGGCACCAGAACACACGAAGAGTAGGAGTTTAAGGGATGCTGTCTATTGGGATAAAGGAAAGCCTTGGATTACACCCTGAGATTGTAGGACTCAAACCTCACATTTGTGGAAAGGACAAGGGAGAATTGTTAGAAAAAGAGGTCAAAGAAGCCACTCTCAAATTTTTAAGGTTAGAATAGAAACTATGAACCCGATGTGTTAATTAGCCATATAGTTTTTGTAATGTGTATGACTAGGTTAACAGTTGCACTAATTTATGGCAGTCTGGAAATTTCCTTCCATGGTCACCAGAGTTTATACCCATGTGTGGTAAAAGATGACAAGAATGGAGTTGGGAAGGGAGGGTATTTTTTCTAACTCATCATTAGAAGGATGATACTTAATAGTTATATACTATCCAGCATAATGTGTGTTACATAATAGGCAACTCAGTGTTTGCTATATGAGTAAGTGAAGACATCAATATACACTGAAAACACCTTTATTATCTCTTCTATGTTGAATTCTCTTTTTCTTTGCGTACTTCACTTGTCTCAAAGCCAACAGACACCATTCCTCTCTTATCTGTCTCCCACTTAATCATGTCTCTCCTTCACTTTAAACCTCACTCTGTACAAAAGAAGTATTTTTCCATCCCGACCAGGCTAGTCACTCCCTAGGCATGCAGAAGTTTAGTATTCATTTTGTATGGTGTCACTAACTACTCGGCTTAGTCATGAATTTCTACAGTTTAGATATATCTAAAGTACTTCCCTAATCTCATCCTATGAAAATGAAAGCTACCTGGTAGGAATAGATAGCTTTTAATTCTATCCTAGCTCCACATACTATTTTTGAAAACTAGCTATTTTTCATTCAGTCAATATTATAGACTGACTCATGCTGAGCCACAATTCTTGCATTCTCTTTTAATAAGGAATATAAACAACCTGTCAGTTCTGGTTTTCTAGTCACTCAATTAAATAAGAACAATTATTTATTTGGCAGAACAAATAAACTATGACAATGAATTTGGAAGCTTATTGCAAATTTCAACTGTAACCCAGATTCAGAAAACTAAAGAAAGAACTCTGAGGCATGGGTTCTTTTTTGTTCTGTAAGAGCTGTTCCATGAATTATTTAATATATACTAAAAAGCTATCGCTATCCTGGGTAAGAAGGATGGGACATAAATAAGAAACTCTTCAGGAAAAGAGAAA